GAACATCAAACCCAAGAGATCGGGACATTTGTCCTCTGTGCTTCTTCCCGGGAAGCTGTATGCACATGACGTGGCCAAGCTACTCGAGGGCTGGATGCACATGCGGCCGCATGTGTTTCCAGGGTTCGGCCCTTGTGTGGCTGAGTACGCCAGTCATCCGCACGTGCATCCAGCATCTGGCCTCCGCACGTGCCGCAGTGTGATTCTAACCGCGCGTGTTTTCAGTCCCCTGTGTTGCTTAAGGCACCCAGCCTGCAGGGGAGGAGGACGACCACCACGGGCCCACGTCCCCCCTCGGGCCGAGGGGCGCCCCGGACCCTTCCCAGGAGCACGCGCCGATGATAGAAGTGTAATTAGTCAAGCAGGTCTTCTCGGCCTGGCGCCCGCCCGCCTCGGCCCCTTTCTCTTATCGGTTCCCTCCTTGGTTCTTCCGCCTTTGCGTGGGGCGCTCGAGTGTGCAATGAGGACGACGAGGGCGACGAGAGAAAGAGGAGGAGGAGGAGGAGCAGGAGGAGGAGGGTGAGGAGCAGGAGGGGGATGAGGAGGAAGCGGAGGTGAAGTTGGAGGAGGAGGAGGAGGAGGAGGAAGAGGGCGAGGAGGAGGAGGAGGACTGAGAGGGGGAGGAAGCGAAGGAGGGCAGGGAAAAGGGTATAACAAAACCGGGCACTACTACCAGCAATCCCCTACGATGCGCTTAGCTAGCCCTTGCTGTCCATCGCATGTTCTTGCATGCCCATCGCATGTTCCACGCTCTGCCATAGCAGATTCCGATCGGCATCTGTTTCTCGACCTCTTTTGGCTTTTCCTGGGCATCCCCAGACGACGCCGGCACACTTGTAAGGGCGTGCGAAGAGGGAGCTTGGGGGAGTGTGTATTCCAACATCGTTGATGCATATCGAGGTTACACAGTCATCCTCGTTCTCCGCATGAACATCCCTCGGGGGTCGTTTGGGGTTCGATGTATGTGTGCAACGCGTCATTTGGTCGGCGAATGCGCGAAAGGGTTCGCCCACGGAGCTCGGCGCATATTCGCTCTGGCATCCCACGGCCTGGGAAGTTGGGGTGTCTACACACCGAGCTCCTCGACCGACCACAAGTTTTGGTATACACTTAAAGTCCTTCCCATGCACCCTATTTCTCCTTTTCCCGTGCCCTTCCTGCTACTGCTGCCCACCCTGCTCATTTTCGCATTTCTGGCACCCGCTCGCTAACAGAGGTCACGAACACGGTGAAGACGGTCTCCGACACCATTGCCGATTTCTACAAGCTCGCTGGGAGGGTGAATGTAGACAGAACGAATGCGGACGAAGACCGATCGTATTCTCCCCCCACATTGCATCGTTTTCGCTGTCTGTGTCGGCGTGGATGTTGTCCATATTTAGGGCGAGCGTTGCGTGTCCATCAAATCAACGGAGACTGTCGGTCTGGGGCATTATTTGCTGTCCAGTTTGTTGTGCCCCCATCTTGGGCGTGCCAAGGAGTGGGTCCGCGTCAGGGCATGTCAATCCCCACCCCCTCCTGCTCCACCCTCATCCTCACTTTCCCTTCTCCCTCCCCGCCCCCCTTCATCCTGTCTCTCTCTCTCTCTCTCTCTATCTCTCTCTCTCTTTCCCTTCCCTGGATACGTGTAAAATGCGATTCCTGGTATTGCCACGCAGCCCATGAGCCAGTGAAGCAGACCCTGGGCATCCAGCTGATCTGGGGTGGCCTGATCGCATCCCCCCTTGCAGCAGACCAGGCTCCTCCTAGCCACGTCCCGGTTTCCGCGCGTCAGCGCCCCGAGCCTTCCCAAACCTCCCGCCCCGCGGAGCAGAGCGACACACTATGGGATCGCAGAGTACAGCGTGTCGCCGGGGCCGCCTACTGCAACACACCAAGCACACACTCCTGACCGTCGGCCCAGAGGTCCGAGGGTCAGATTTGTCCAACCCCCGGGTCCTCAGACGTCCCGACCCTTTCACCCCTGGGCCGGTTTTTTCGCGGGGAGCCGTCTTGTGGCAGTTTTTGGGGCTCGGCGAGGGCCCCGTGAAGCCGAGAATGATGAAACACCTCCATCCGATGTTTTGTTCAATGCGCGGGACGTCTGGGAGTGACACGCTGACTGTAGCCATAGATTGCGTGCTGCCCCTTGGGTGTAGCAGTGCCCCCAGGGTCAAGCAGATGCTCCACGTGCTCTTCTCGGTTACCCTCAGGACGTGTGTTGGGAGAGTGTTGTGTTAAGGGTCCAGAAATGACCCGGCTTATCGGGCCCGCCACCCACCCCTCCCCTTCCCCCGGATAAGTTGACCGTGTAGTTTGCGCAGATCTGAAGTGGGTGCGCAGTAGTGGTGCGCGTAGGCATGCGTGGGGCTGCGCCGAGCGAAGAGGCTACAGGTGCCATCGACCGGAACCTCCCCCCCCTCCTCGGATCCACCGGCAACGGAGAGCGATCTCCAGGACGTGTGGCAGCCCGACGTGCTAACCCCTCTCAGCTCCGCCAGTGTCGGGGGAGCGTAAGACCCGGGTTTGCCAGGACTCGGGTTCGCCATCGTTTTTTGACGACCGCGACTCGGATGTTGACGAGGAGGAGTTTCGTGGGATGTCTGCAGCGGGAGGCCTCGCCAACATGCAGGCTCGGCCTCGTCATTTTTTTGACGACCTCGTCGGGGATTCCCGAGTCTCCTGTACCCGGGTCTTGCGCCCCCCTGAAAGTGGCACGCAGCTCGTGCCGGCCCTCGCTCGGGATCTGCAGACCGACGCGGGCGGCTCCCCTGCCTGGGGGTGTCTCCCCCCCTCCTCGGATCCACCGGCAACGGAGAGCGATCTCCAGGACGTGTGGAAGCCCGACGTGCTAACCCCTCTCAGCTCCGCCAGTGTCGGGGGAGCGTAAGACCCGGGTTTGCCAGGACTCGGGTTCGCCATCGTTTTTTGACGACCGCGATTCGGATTTTGACGAGGAGGAGTTTCGTGGGATGTCTGCAGCGGGAGGCCTCGTCAACATGCAGGCTCGGCCTCGTCATTTTTTTGACGACCTCGTCGGGGAGTTCCGAGTCCCCTGTACCCGGGTCTTACGCCCCCCTGAAAGTGGCACGCAGCTCGTGCCGGCCCTCGCTCGGGATCTGCAGACCGACGCGGGCGGCTCCCCTGCCTGGGGTGTCTCCCCCCCTCCTCGGATCCACCGGCAACGGAGAGCGATCTCCAGGACGTGTGGAAGCCCGACGTGCTAACCCCTCTCAGCTCCGCCAGTGTCGGGGGAGCGTAAGACCCGGGTTTGCCAGGACTCGGGTTCGCCATCGTTTTTTGACGACCGCGACTCGGATTTTGACGAGGAGGAGTTTCGTGGGATGTCTGCAGCGGGAGGCCTCGTCAAAATGCAGGCTCGGCCTCGTCATTTTTTTGACGACCTCGTCGGGGATTTCCGAGTCCCCTGTACCCCCGGGTCTTTAACGCCCCCCTGAAAGTGGTAACGCGCTCGTTCCGGCCCCTCGGCTCGGGATCTGCAGACCGACGCGGGCGGCTCCCCTGCCTGGGGGTGTCTCCCCCCCTCCTCGGATCCACCGGCAACGGAGAGCGATCTCCAGGACGTGTGGAAGCCCGACGTGCTAACCCCTCTCAGCTCCGCCAGTGTCGGGGGAGCGTAATACCCGGGTTTGCCAGGACTCGGGTTCGCCATCGTTTTTTGACGACCGCGATTCGGAGTTTGACGAGGAGGAGTTTCGTGGGATGTCTGCCGCGGGAGGCCTCGCCAACATGCAGGCTCGGCCTCGTCATTTTTTTGACGACCTCGTCGGGGATTCCCGAGTCTCCTGTACCCGGGTCTTGCGCCCCCCTGAAAGTGGCACGCAGCTCGTGCCGGCCCTCGCCCGGGATCTGCAGACCGACGCGGGCGGCTCCCCTCCTCCTCCTCCTCCTTCTTCCTCCTCCTCCTCCTAATCCTCCTCCTCCTCCTCCTCCTCCTCCTCCTCCTCCTCCTCCTCTCCTCCTCCTCCCCTCCCTCCCTCCCTCCCTCCCTCCCTCCCCTCCCTCCCTCCCTCCCTCCCTCCCTCCCTCCCTCCTTGGGTGTGTCTTTCCTTGCGGCCTGCGCGGGTGCCCGCCTCGCTCCCATCACGGGCGCCTCTCGGCCCAGGCCCTGCTCGGCCCCAGGAGCCTCTTGGGGTCGGGGGAGGAACAGCACAAACGGGAAGGCCTCGGTGGACAGGCGCGCGGCGGTGCTGCCACGCGCTCCGAGGATCCTCGGAGGCTCCTCCCCCTCGCCCTTCTCCTGCCATCGCTCGGACGTGTGCACGTTTCTCGGCGAGGACCCTCGAGGACCATCCTGGACCATAGAGCAAACAGAGCGCGCGACGGCAAGTTCTCGTCTCGTTGGGTCTGCCTCTCCGCCCGGGGGATCGCCCGCTCCGCCCAGGCTCTACCCGCAGCCGCCGGTGCTGCCGATGTATCCTCCCGGGGGGGGGCCCGGCGGAGGACGGCACGGGTGGCCGAGGGATCCCCCTTTCCGGGGAGGGAGGGGAGCTGCTTGTGCGCGTTGGCGGGGGGGAGGCGGATTCGGAGGGGAGGGAGAGAGGGTGGGGGGAGGGGAGGGAGGGAGGGAGGGAGGGAGGGAGGGAGGGCGGGAGGGAGGAGGGGGAGGGGGAGGAGGAGGAGGAGGAGGAGGAGGAGGAGGAGGAGGAGGAGGAGGAGGGGAGGAGGAGGAAGGACTAGGAGGGAGGAGGAGGAGGAGGAGGAGGAGGAGGAGGAGGAGGGAGGAGGAGGAGGGGGAGGGGGGGGGGGAGGGGGAGGGGGGGGGACAAGGACAACGAGGAGGGGGAGGAGGATGGAGGAAGGAGGAGGAGGAGGAGGAGAAGGAGAAGACTGAGGAGGATGAGGAGGATGAGAAGGAGAGCAAGATGAGGGGCGAAGACGGATGGCGGGGGGCAGGGAGGGGGGTGGGACGGGGGGAGGGCGGGGGAGACCCCCCCTTTGCCCCCGGCTTCCTCCTGCCCTCCACCGTGGACCTCCCCCTGGGGCGTCGCACCTTCCTCATGGACCTGCTGAAGCAGGCGCCCCGCCGCCCGGCCTCGGCGGCGCAGAGGGCGCACGGCGGGCGGCGACGAGGGGATGAGGATGAGGAGAGGAGGCGGGGGAGGAGGAGGAGGAGGAGGAGGAGGAGGAGGAGGAGGAGGAGGCACAGGAGGAGGAACAGGAGGAGGAGGAGGAGGAGGAACAGTAGGAGGAGGAGGAGGAGGAGGAGGAGGAGGAGGAGGAGGAGGAGTGTGAGTGAGGGAGGGGTGCCGCGCCCTCGTTCCTCGCCGCTCTCCTTGTCCTCTTTTTGGGACCTCTGGGGGGTCCCCCCTCGAGGGCCGTTCCAAGGCTCTCACGGCCCGTCTGGCGCCCTCGGTGGCCGTCTCGGGGGGGCCTTCCTGGGCCACCTCGGGGAGCTGCAGCACCGTTTTGGAGGTCACTCGGCCCGTCTTCTTGTGCTTGGGGCCCGCTTGGGGGCCTCATGGACTGCACTGGGACCATCGTGGCCCGTTTTGGCGCCTCTTGGGGGCTCCTTGGGCCGTCTTGGAGCTATCGTGAAGGCCTCTGGGGCCGAATTCGGTTGTCAGAAGCCCGAAATAATTAGAGGGAACTTGTAAGACATCTTACAACTTCGTGGAGGAATCAATGATTCTGGCCTTTCGGGTTAAGTCGGGCGTGGTCTTCTACAGGAGGAATATCCCAAACTAGTCAAACAAAAAGTCTGGAGACGATTTCTTTAGCATTTTTCGCAATTTGGGAAGCTGTTGTGATAATTGTTGTTTCTCAATCCTAAATCCGCCTGTTGGGGGACACGCCCGACCTAATTTTCCGACTCCTGCAAGGCCTTTTTGAGCCCTCGTGAATCGTCTCGGGGGCGTCTTTGGCCGCCCTGAGGCCGTCGTGGACCGTCTTGGAGCACTATTCGTCCGCCGTGGGCCATTTTGGAGGCACCTTGGCCGTATTGGAGGCCACAGTTCGGAGGAGGAACAGGTACCCATTCCTCTACCCCCTCGCCCGCTTTCCCCTGTTTGGGCCTCTTGGGAGGCCCTCGTCGCCACCGCTGGCTTCGCATCTAAATCCTGGTCAGCACGCGCCCTGGGAGAGGTTCGGGGGTACGAGTATCGGTACTTCTGGTTTCCCAAATATTGGAGTCGTTTTGGATGCCGTCTGGGGGGGAATCCGACGGGAGATATATTTTCCGGGTGCCCGGTAGGTTGTACCAGAGACCACTGGGATTTGTTTGGAAGGGCCCACGGGGTTAGTTCATATTTGAGCATGCCCTGCATCTCCCGGTACGCAGAAGGGGTCGTCGGATAGTGGCCTTCGGCCTAATTGGCCAGCGTGCCTGGATGGTGAACAAGAGGCCTATTGGGGTATCTTGAAGGGCCTCTTGGGGGCCTCTTGGAAGACTCTGGGGGCATCTTGGGGGTCTTCCCCAGAAGCCGCGACACGGCCCCGAGGGCCCCGACATGCGAGGATAGCGCAGGTCCGCTGGACTCCCCGAGCAGTGTTGTTCTGGATCCCCGCCCTCCTTCGGAGTGTCCACGGTTTTCCAAGAGGCCCGCAGATCGCCCCCAGACGGCACCCGAAGGGCCCGGCGAGGTTCTGCAGCGGAGCGGGCCCAGGAGAGCACATGAGGGCCGAGCTGCGCGCTCCTGAGAAGCGCGCCTCAACGGCCCCACGAGACCCCGAGGAGGTCTTCGGGAGTTCAAAACTCAGAGAGGAGTCACCCTAACAAGCGCCCTGACAGCAGCAAAGGTGACGAGGTGTGTCGAGGAGTAGGAGGGCGGCGAGTGAAACCGCGTGTGTCTGATGTTTTCCGGGGAGGGGTGCAGCTGGACAGGGCTGAGAGCACGCCCACTTGCACATTACAGTGAGCGGTTTGAATAATGAGCACTTACTTTTCAAAAGGGGCTCGGTCGTTCCTTAGGCTTGCATGCCTTATTTATCGTTCTTTATGCGTCATGTATGTTTTATTGTCCCTTATGTTTTGCTCCTTGGGGAAAAGGGGGCTTCGTTCCTTATGTATCCCTAATTATATGTTAACATGGCATCGTGGCCGTCCAGACCAAAAGCAGAGCTGGCATTGCGGCGAGAGCCGGATTCCCGAAGAAAGTGCGAGGACCTCTCAGGCGAAACGGAACGGTTGCCGGACCGGGCGTCCCAGGGCTCCCGGTTTTCCTTCATCTGACCAATCTGAGGAACATCTGTCGGGTTGACCCAAAATCGGCGTCACCCCAGCACACTTATACTATAGGTGGTTCGTCCCCCCAGTGGCGACGCGCGCACCGAGGCATTTTATAGTATGTGCATCGTGGCGGGCGCTTTCTGGCCACACCGCTCGGTAAACGATATACTACAGGATGGATATACTATATGTTCGGGTCGGACGCGCGCCTCCAAGGACGACATATAGTACAAGTATGTCTCTGTGCGTCCCACAAAAGAAGGTCCAGCGACAAGGGGGTGGTGCAATAGATTTGGTGCAATAGATTTGTTGGGTTGCCATACATCTGGGGCGTGCAATACGTTTCGGGGCGCACATGTGTTGCTGTATTTTCGCGTACCATACATTACTTGCAATACACTGCGATGCAATTCTCAGGCGCAATACATTAGGAATACGCTTGCCCCAAATCTATTGCACCACCCTCTTTCAGCTGGACCCCTTCTGGGTCACCCAAAATCTAGTGGAACGCTATCAGGTTAAAAGCGACATCAGCAGAACATTTCGGAGCTCCGCGCGGACTTATCGAATCGGCGCGGGGTCTCCCTGGAGGCGCCTCCGCGCGCCAGGGAGGGTGGCCTAGCGCCAATCCAAGTATTCCGCGCGGAACTCCGAGTGTTGTTTTTGTTCTTCTTGTCAAGGTTGCGCCAGCGAGCCTTTCTGGGAGTTCTCGACAGTCCTGGCAGGGCACCGTCCTCCGAGAGAGAGCCCAAAAGTGCTCCAGCATGCCGTTCGCAAATGAAGCCCAACGCGTTCCACAGAGAGAACAGTCCCTTGCTCACGGCAAAACCACTTCGGTTCGGGCCCTTAATGGTTTGTGAGACGATGAGGTCCCAAGTGTTGCGACGCTCCCTTGGCGTGTATTCGGGAGGGAGTTTCAAGCGACCTCAGGATACTGGAGGCTGCCCCAGACGGCCCTAAAAAATGCGAGGTCCCCACAGCGTCTGACACTATTCGGCTGACGATGGTTCCAAGACGTGTAGCCAACCACAGTGGTCACCACAAAAGGTGCCAAGAGACATCCACAGGGCTCTCAAGACGCCCTCCAACTGCTCAGAAGAAGCCTCCAAGCATCCCCGAAGGTGCGTTCAAGAAGACCCCGAAGAAGATCACAACAGGCATCAGACGATCCCATAGGGCCCAACAGACATCAACGAGCAGAACGAAAACCCGACGAGGCCCCAAGAAACGCCCAATTCGCCACCCAGAAATCACCCACATTCACCCCCCCAGAGGCCCCGGACAGAACACAGCCGGCCCCCCCCCCCCCATGACGTTCTAGGCAATCTAATCCGAACGAGCAGACCAAGTAGTGGTAGGAGGAGGGGGAGGAGGAGGAGGAGGAGGACGAGGAGGACGAGTAGGACGAGGAAGACGAGGAGGATAAGGACGAGGATGAGGACGAGGACAAGGAGTAAATTGACGCGGAGGAGGGGAGAGCTGCTTTCATCGGCGCGTTCTCGCTGTCCCCCCCACTATCCGTGGTCTCGCCGCTCTCGTGCCGCTTACCCCCTGTCCTCATCATTGCCCCCCCTATCTCTGCCCATCCATCTCTTGCCCACTTCGCCCCTCACCGCCGTCTCTATTGTTTGCTTGCGTTGCAGCTACTGTCTCCGTCCCCCTTCAAGATTATCCGTCCTCCGTCGCGTTGCTCCTTTGTTCTCCTCCACCTTCCCCTTCTCCATCGACTGACATCTAATATCGTGGATGTGCCTGTTTAGATTCGGGACCGCGCGCGAAGCGCTCGCGTAGTTGTGGTTACATGATATGTACATTTAGTACACCCGTGTTTCTTCTTTGTACATATGTCAGCAATCGTGAACCCCAGATCGTGTGTTTCTAGCAATACATGTTGTGCTATTTTTTGTTTGCCATCCATGCTGTGCAGTCTATGTTGTGCAGTCGTTGTTGTGCCGCATGTTGTGCAATTGATTCTAATAAACGAGTGAATACATCCCACGCTCTTGCAAACATCCCACCCACCCACCCGCAACCAGATTTGCGCAACCCATGCGGTGGCGATTGCGATACATGCTTGGCGTAGGTTGGCCCATCTCTGCGGCCGCGTCAACCCAAGCACGCGCTCGCGCAGCGGCCAGCTAGTTTGGCGCGACCGTCGCGGACGCGATGGCGCTGACAGTTCGGCACATCCCAGCGGGCACATCAGTGCGAGTCGTCGACTTGGGCGGGCGCGGTATCATGGCAACGTCGACAATGGTAGACACGATGATGATAGTAACGATTTTGGTGACGATGCTGAATGCGACGACGGGGCAGCTTGTGACGGCGACGATGCTGATCACGCCGGCGACGATGACGGCGCCTTCGCGTAGGTGATGCATATTTTGAAAGGACTTCGAAATGGGCGCGCGGCAGACGCGCGAGACTGGCCCGCATGGTATTACTTGACGCGGATCGTGCCACCCCAGCACGCGCGCAAGGGCGTTCGAACGATTTCGACATGCGCGCGCGAAGCCCGTTTGGTAACATGTTCTCAAACATGTGAAAAGCCACGGTGTTCTTCAAAGATCGCAAGAACGCGGGCGAAAGTTTTAGGGAACTCCGTGTTGCGAAACCTGTTTTTATGGTTTATTTGGCACTCGATGTTGCAACCCGTACGACACCGAAGATTCATGACGGATCCCTGCATGTGCGCGCGACGACGCGCGCGCGTGTTATCCGTCATTCATTTGCAGTGGATTTTTGAAAACGTATAAAACGAATAAGCGCGCATAGTTTTTTGCATGGGATGCCGGGGGGGGGGCGATGTCAGCCTGGTTGGGATGGTACGAGTTCGTGTTCAGGATGGACGATGGGGCATACTCTCATGTAGAATCGGGGATCGGTAATCCTGCGGGGGGGGGTCGTGTTTGTCCTTCGTTTAGAAAACAAAACCGATGTGTAACAATATTTCTTGGTGCATTATATATGCTGTGGTGTGTGTGATCCACTCGACGTTGTTCAACCTACGTCGTGCAACTTGGCTTGTGCAATACACGTTGTATAATATATGTGCAAACCATGTGGTGCAACATGCGTGGTGCCATCCATGCTGTGCAATGTCGATGTCTTGCGACCTACGTTGTGCAATATATATATATATGTATGTATATATTGTGCAATTTGCGTTGTGCAATTGACGTTGTGCAATCTAGGCGGTGGAAATTACGTGGTGCAACATATGTGGTGCAATCTACGTGGTGCAATTAAATTTGACCGTCTTGAAGCTGTCCTCTCCACTGCTCGTGCAAACATCCCACCCTCCCACCCGCAACTTGGTCGCAAGACCTCTTCAAACAAGACCGTGACGGTAGGTACCACATGGCACTTGGCCACGACACCGACGCCGACGACGACAGCGACATCGACGACGACGGCGCCGCCGACACCTACTGCGACGACACCGACGACGTCTCCAATGTTTTCGACGACAACGACGACGACGACACCGACGACGACGACAACGACGCCGACGACGACGACGAAGACGACGACGACGTCGCCAACGGAGACGACGACGAGGGAGGAGAAAAAACGACGACGGCGACAACGACGACAACGACGATGGCGGAGGGAAGACGGCGACGACGCCAACGACGAAAAAGGAGGAAGGACGGCGACGCCGACGACGACAACGACGAGGGAGGAGGGAAGACGACGACGACGACAACGACGACGAAGACGACGACGACGGCGACGAAATAGGAGGGACGACGACGGGACGCCGACGACGGACGACGACGTCGAGGGAGGAGGATAACGACTAGGGAGGAGTGAAGACCAAGACGACGACGACGACGACGACGGCGACGAAATAGGAGGGACAACGACGAGACGCCGACGAAGACAACGAGGGAAGAAGGACGACCACGGCGACAACGACGACGGAAGCGACGACGACGCCAAGACGACGACGACGACGACGAGGAAAGTCAGAAGACGACGACGGCGACGGTGACGACGACAACGACGAGGGAGGAGGGAGGACGACGACGCGACGACGACGACGCAAGAGCGCGCGCGCACACTTTTGTTGAAAACCCGTGTTGCGAAACCTTGTGTTTTTGTAGGTTTTTTTGGACGCGCGATTTCGAAATCCTTCCGAAACCGAAGGTTTTTGAAGGATTTCGGCATACGCCCGCGACGACGCGCTGCACTTCGTCCCATTTTTGCAGAGGAATCTCGCGACGGCACACGCGCAAGGGCGTTCGACAGATTTCGACATGTGCGCGCGCGAAGCCCGTTTGGTCGCATTTTGTGAAAATCTTGAAAACCATGGTTTTCTTAAGATTTCGCAAGAACTCGCGCGTAAGCGTTTTTTAGCAAATCAGTGTTGCGAAACCATGTGTTTTTGTATGTTTTTTGGAAATTCAATTTTGAAATCTCTCCGGAACCGAAGGTTTTTGAAGGATTTCGGCATGCGCGCGCGACGACGCGCGCGTGTGCAC